TGATAAAATGACCCTTCATGTTGTCCACATTTCCAACATAAATTTGAAGTACCTTTATACACTCTAGATAATTTTTCTGGGGTCATATACCAATGGTACATCATTTTATAAAAGTTCTCTGTTAAGTTACAACTTCATGTAAATTTCAATCCTTTTAACCATATATTTTCCCTCTGTTCCATCAATATATTGTGTCCAAAGTTCTTAGCCCATTTTATCATATAGTCTTTTACTTGTTGTTCTTCCATTTCAAATTTCAATAAAAGTTTGTACATTTTAGCAATTACATGTTCATCAATTGTACATAGTTCAACTTCAAATTCTGTCTTCTGCTGCTCAATTCTAAATGTCCTATTAAGTACCTTAAATTTTTCTCTTAACTGTGCATACAAAAACTAGCCAGTTGCTCTCTTGATTTCATGTTATATTCTCCATGTTCCTGTTCTAACAACTCTCAATAAGTCGACCATTTTTCCTTACCTACTGTTTATTTCCTGTAAAATGCTTCTTGTGCTGAGACCCATAAAGGCATTTTCGGGCACAGTCTGGGTTTATATCTGTTCCATATTCTTAATATGGCACTTCTAATATAATGATTCTTAAAATCTACATTAACCTTGACTTTATTGTACCATAGAACACCATGCCATCTGAACCTCAGATCATGCTCTTCTAATTCTAAAATTCTCTTATTTCTCAGCAAAACCCACTCCTTCTTCCAGACTAAGCCACAGGCTGCAAAATACAATTTCAAATCAGGTAGTCCTGCTTCTACTAGGTTTTATAGACTTTCCTCCTCTTTTTGGAGAGATAAAAATGAGGGAAATGTTTTGTAAGTATGCTTGTAACTTCTTAGAACTTCAGAACTAGGTTTCCTATTTTATGGCAGGTTGCATCTTATCGAAGAGAAGTGACTGAATTAGAAAAATCTGTCCATGAATTGGAGAAGGAAAATATCTATCTCATCAATCAACTGTTTGAGCGGAGATTGCAATTCCTTAAAGTACCCAGGTAAAGAAGGCTCCAAATATGACTTATCTTTAGCTTGCTTAATCAGGTTATTGACAGCAGTTGAGTACAATGAGTTTTAGTCTTGATTCGTTCTTTTTTCCCTGTAATTCAGCGTGCTGGACAAACCCAGTCCACTTAGTTGTTCAGCATAATGTGGGAATGCAGAAACTTAATTCAGTAACCAGGTTAAAGGGGTTGTGTGAACATAACCAACAATTGTGTGTATGTGTGTGTGAGTGTGAGTATGAGTATGGGCATGCAATCTCAGCTCCTTCCTGCAAAAATATTTCCTCTGGTTTCTTTCTATTTAAAACTCAACAAAACCCTTCTAAGATACAAGGAGGATGTTTAAAAGGTGCTTGTTATCTGTGCAGGCAGGAATAACCCAATAATTGGTCACATTTTGGGGGCTAGGGACCTCACCATCCTTATTTTTTTTTGGTTCCCCCCCACCCCAGTGACCACTGAATAAGTATGACAGACAGGGTGAGGCCAGAATCTTCAGTTGTTTCCTCCTGTCCCCCTTTTTTGAAGTAACTTTTGAAAAAACTAAATGGGTCTTGTAGGATCTCCGGATGATTTGACTCTAACTTCCATAATCCCCACTTGGCCTGACAAATTTTGTGGTGTAAAAAAAGTGCAGTTGAAAACCTCTGGAGGGTGCCACATTATGGCAATAGAAAAAGGGAAATGTGAATGCTTCTTCATCAGTATTCCTTGAATTCAGACTTTTTACACTGTACAAAATGATTCTTCAGCAAAGAGAGCTGAAGTTACTATAGACCAGTGTTTTTCAAACTTGGCAACTTTAAGACGTGTGGACTTCAACTCCCAGAATTCCCCAGGCAACCAGCTTGCTGGCTGGCTGGAGAATTTTGGGAGTTGAAGTCCACACGTCCTAAAGTTGCCAAGTTTGAAAAACACTGCTATAGGCCGTTTTTCTGGAAGGAAAGAAAATACCTTTTCCTCTGGGACACAGCACTGGCAATGAAAAGACTGATTAAGCAACTTTGGGTTTTCTTTGGAAAGTTACTTTGGAGCAGAATATCCTCAATTGTTGATTGGAATTGTAGAATAACAGGCTGGAAAGGTCTTCTAGTCCAGTGTTCCTCAACCTTGGCTGCTTTAAGCTGTGTGGACTTCAACTCCCACACAGCTTATGTTGAAGTCCACACAGCTTAAAGCGGCCAAGGTTGAGGAACACTGCTCTAGTCCTTCCCCTTACCCATGTAGGATTCCATTACTGCAGGATCCCCAACAGCTTCTGCTTAAACACCTCCAGCAAAGAGGAGGTCACTGCTTTCCAAGATCATCTGAGAGGCTGTTGAATCACACTGTTTAGGACAGCAAGAAAATAAACTTTTCACTCTTTCCCATTTATGGAATCAAAAGTATTTTAAGGGCTAAATTGCCTGTTACATTATATTGGTGGGCTGCTTTGGTTGATTGATTGATTGATTATGTACCATCAAGTCATTTTTGACTCCTAGCAACAACCTAGATAGATTTTCTCCATGATGATCTGTCTCTAAGCTGGTCCTTCCAGTCTCCCAACATTGCACCCATCACTATAACTGAGTCCCCACACCTTGCTGCTGGTCATCCTCTTCTTCTCCTTCTTTCCAACTTTCCCGGCATTACAACCCTCTCCAGAGAGATAAGTCTTCACATAATGTGTTCGAAGTAGGATAATTTGAGCCTAGGCTGCTTTTCACATTTTAATCAAAGGGACAGGAAGAATTAAAACAATAGCCTATTTTTCTTTGCTACATATCTAACCGTTTGGATAACAGCTACATTTTGAATCCAGAGCAATCCAACATTATTTCCTCCATCTTTCCCCAAACCACTGGATTATATAAACCAAGAGTGGGTAACTGGGAAGTGGGTAGCCTGAAGTTCAGTTCCAAAAACCTTTTCCTGTTCCTGGACTCCTCTGGGACCATGATTACTCAAAATTAGAAATACCAGTTTTACCATTTTAATTAGAAAGGTCAAATCACAAAAGAAGAACAGTGGGGATGAAAAGCTGTGGACCCATCCTCACACACCTCTAGGGATGCTCCAAAATACACAAGCCTGATACACCTCTTCGTACAATTGTATCATTACTAGGGACCCCAACATACAACATAGCCAAGGGACTTACAAAAAACATTGGACATCTCACAGAGGGGAGTGAATATTCTAACACTCCCTACTACGGTGCCTCCAGAAAATCAGAAACCTAAAAATAGAAGATGAAATTATGGTTTCATTCGATATCACAGCACTCTTTATGTCCATAGATCCAGAACTAGCAAAAAATCGATGGCAACAGTACTGGACAATACACCTGACCTAGTCAATACACTAAGATCAAAATACACAGAATCATGGACCTCATCAACCTCTGCCTCACCACCTACTTTCAGTTTGATGGACAGATATACCAACAATTCAGAGGAACACCCATGGGGTCACCACTCTCAGGAGTCATAGCAGAAACCGTAATGCAGCACCTAGAAACTATAGCACTCCCACACATACAACCAAAAGTATGGATCCAGTATCTAGATGACACGTTTGTCATAATAAAAAAGGAACAATTAGAGAAGACATGTGAAGCATTAACATACTCTTTAAATGAATAAAATTCACAAGGGAAGAAGAAAACAACACACTACCCTTCCTGGATATCCTTATCAGCAGAGGAAATGATGGCAAATTAGAAACGCAGGTCTACCAAAAAGCAACTCACGCTAATCAAATGCTCCATTACCAAAGTAACTACCCAATCTGCCACAAGAGGAGCTGTGTAAGAACATTGTTCGGTACAAACGCACTGCAGTAACCCAGAACACCAGAAAGGGAAACGGGCCACCTATACAACCTCTTCCAACAAAATGGATACCCACTCAACTTTATCAAAAAGTGCCTGACCACTCAACCCACTACAGCACAACCGACACAAGCAATGAAAAGGATAACATATTTAAAAAGTCTCAGACTATTACAACTACACAGCACACCATAGCACACAAATCAACTAAAGCCTTCCAAAACATCTTAAGTAAACCAAAAACCCAGTAGCCCAAGAAGAAAAAACGAGTCATCTACAACATACAGTGTAAGGATTTGTAACAGCCACTATGTAGGACAGATAGGCAGAAGACTAGCAGAGCACATCCACGAACCCCAACTAGCAATCAGAAGTCATGATGAAAATTCCTTAATCTCATAACATGTGGACAGACTCAACCATAGTTTCAACTGGGAAACTGAGCATCCTAGACTAAGCTAAATCCGAAAATGCAAGGGAATTCCTGGAAGCTTGGCATTCAGACAAATTATCCATCAATAGACACATAGAGATAAACCACATTTATACACTTCAAAAGAGACAATA